TAACTGATAAGAAAAACAAACGATGCTTAGAGGCTACTGGATGTTTGTGAGGACATTCAGTGATCTGCTGAGCCAAAATTATAAATGTCTTTGACAGGACACATTGAAAAAATAAACAAAGTCACATTATCTTATAAAATAGTTTCAGACCACTGCATTTTCATGCAGTCATGCAGAGCTGACAGTTTGAAATCCCAAAAATGCTGATCCATGAATAAATTTCAGGATGCGTGATGCAAAAAGAAATCTATTTTCATTGGTGGGAACAGAATAATCAATATGAATTTGTTTCTTACTGGCCAAAACTGGGGTGACATCCAGTTCAGGTGGGTTTTCAAAGCATACTGAGTTAAACTGTCTGATTTCTGAAAAACTGCTTTTGAACATTTGACTGTGAGTCAAGTTTTTTCTCCGCGGCTGCGATGATGAATAATGCAACCTCGGCTGTCTGGGCATCTCTAGATTGTTTAGAGCAGTTTCCTCTCGTGTTCCCAAATCTGTGTGTGTTTGACTAAACAGATGAGACTAGCCTCTCGTTTTCTCTTTTGCCTTGTTTAGTGGAGTTTGCAGCTGCCAGTTTAAGGACTAGTGTGACAGTTGAATCTGAACACTGGGGATCGATGTGCAGGGTTAAAGTCCAGTGGATGTCAAAACAATCTGCGGTCACTGTAGAGGGAGACAGATGGGTTTCTTTTGCAGATTTCTTTGTTCAAAAGCAGCAGAATGCTGTTGTTCTCTGTAGGAATTCACCCCGTCTATTAAACTAATCACAGAGTGAGACCGAGGAAGAGTGTCCTATCAAGTCTTATCTCTGCGTTCCTGACGCCAAAACATCTGATAGGAAGAAAACTGACTTCAGAGGAAAATACCAAAAGTCTGTCTCTAACAGCAGATTTTTTTTTTTTAATTGCCACCTCCATACTAACTACAAAGAAGATGACATTCATATCAGGAGGAAAAAGAAGACTTATATTAACCATTTAGTAACCATGCTTTCTAAGCATCACCCAGGTGTGAAATAGATTCATATACAGATACTTTCTCCCTTTTTAATTGGAGTAAATGGGAGATGAAGCAAATATTTGCAGGACAGAAATGTAAAGTGACAATCCCTTGAAGTATACTTCACCCACAAAATGACCATTTGCGTGTCAATTACATGTTCCCTTGAATTCTTGAAGAAAACTGTTTTTCTCGCGTGCCTCCATGGTGAACGAAGAATCAAAAAAAGAAAATTCTTGATGAATCGATAACGGCAAAACTACATCAAAACATCCGTTTACTTTAGTGCAGTATAATCGAAGTCTCATTTATCAAGCCGTATGCTCACTACTTCACAAACGCATGCATCCTAAGCAAGCATGAGACTGTTCAGGCAGAAGAGTTTTATAATCGGATGAATTGTTACTATTAACAATTGTGAAACCCTTTATAAAGTTTAACGTACTTGAAAATTAACCAAAATGTCAAGAAAACATTAGTCCTCTCTGAATAGGGAATGAAACCTTTCACTGTTTAGATGTATTCAAAGTGAGACCTGTTGTCCAGACAGTTGAATAACAGCATGTACGATCTGACACATAAAGACACATTAAAATCAGTTTTACTAAACTCCCCTCGTTCTCTGTGTCCTGCTGACAGAATTAACGTTTCTGAGGCTCCACGCCGGCTCGTTCAGCGGGCAATCTGTCAAAAGTTGGACCCCAAAATTGCACATGCCTGCAGCTGTGTGCGAAGGCCTCAAACGGACAATGAGCGACACAATGGGCCCGGCTGTGCCATTAGCTGAGAGGTTGTCATGCCAACGATACAAAAAGCCCAGAGGAGACTTCATATTGAGCGAGAGCTTTGCCCGGAGGCCCTTCACTTCTCCTCACTTTCTTTTCCATCATTATTCATGTGAGGGAAAAGGCCCTCAGTCCAGAGCGGAGGCAGCAAGGGTGTTCATGCTGGGGGAACAGCGTGGCAGAGGCCGGGTGTCAAGTTGGGTTGTTTTTTTTGTTGTTGTTGGATTTTAACTCCACATGAAATGCACTATTGTGCGAGTAAACAGACAGTCCCGTTGTGCTGAAGAGGGTGACGGCCGTTTGAACCCTAAACTAAAGCAGCGGGACCGTGGCTCAGGCTGGCGTCGAATCAGAAACAAAATGTTCAGCAACATTTTCAGAAGGCGTGAATACAACTCAACAAAAGAAATAAGGGAAAGTACATTTAGGATTTGGTTATGTAAGTTGTGGAAACCAGTGGTGGAGGAAAAGTTCCAACCAATCTAAAAATACTCCGTTACAAGTCCTGTATTTAAACGTCTACTTAAGTTATAGAACAGAAATGGTATCAATGAATAGTAGTCAAAGGGGAAGATCGAAGGCTACATTAATGTGAGTAATGCAGGCAGCAGACGAGGAAGAAGAATACTTGGGATGAAAAAGATCTCTCTTTTAAAGTATCAAAAGTAAAAGTACTTGTTCTGCAGACTAATGGCCGCTGGTGTCGAATATATTACTACATGACATTATTAATACTGATGCATTATGGCTGGTCGAGTTGGAGTGAGTTTCAACTTCTTTATTTGCAGTTTGGTTGTCGGGTGGTTTTATAAGGTCGGGTCCTAAAGGTCACAAGATAAATCTGAGGGGTCGTGTGATGATTAAAGAGGAAGGAAAGAAGAAACAGTGCACAACATAGAAATAGAATCTGGGTAGAACGGACATTCCCATTTAAATCAACGTAGCAGGATGGTCAGAGCGGCAGCCATTTTTATTTGTACCATTGCCTTTGCGACTGTTGGAGCGGGCCAACTTATACAAACTAAACAGACTCTAGGTAAGTCACGGACTCACTGAGGTGAGGTTCAAAACCAGCAGTGGAGTACCACGACGCGTAGAGAGAGTAAATCAGTCAAATGTACTTTAATGCTTCATCACTTTGTTCGGCTAATTTTCAGTAACATTTCCTTTTGAAATGTGGTAGATAAAGCAGCATATCATTGAGTTTTCCCAAATGGAAATGGGAATATTCAAATGCAAGACCACATTTACCACATGTGTCTGTTCAGTTTTTTTGCGCTTATCGTTGTCCTGTGATTGACCCCCACCAGGTTACCCAGAAGCCCTCCTCTTCAACGTACAGTACATTTCAAAATAACAAAATGTCCAGTAGGCTTCAAGTTCAGTTAGACCATCTGTCTGTCCTTTTGAAAAGCATAAACAAAAAGACGCCATTCATTTGGTGCCTCCTTGATTCCTCTTTTGTTTGTGTAATTTGCTTTGGACGGGCCCAGTCTCTCTCACACACACAGAGCTCACTCACAGCGGGGCTTTGCCTCCACACAGAACGGGATGTAAAGCCCAGAAACCTCTGGGTCCCACAACATCTGAGTAAGTCTCTGTCTCTCTCTCTCTGTCTCTCTCTCTGTCTCACACTCTCTCTCTGTGCGATACCACATCAGAAACAATGATGGAGGATTTTGGGCCGTAATCCTCCGGCAGCTTGCGGTTGAGGAAGGTTGGAGAGGAATTATAATGCTTCACACACACAATGTTCTGTTCTTCCTTTCAGATTAGTATAGAAACATGTTCATTTAAAATGTTAAAATACGTTTGCAATATTCTGTTTTCCACATATATTGAGATGTTCAGAATGTGTTCCAACACTTTTTTTTTTGCCAAAATGTTAATTTAACAAATCGTCACAAAATTAATTTGACATGCATTGATTTACATTCATACCCTAACATTAACCCTTACCACTACATGACTAACGCTGACTTATGTAGCGTTCACACTCAAAATGGCATGTTCTGTTGATTTACAGTATTCTCCCACAATGCAATGGAACTGCTCGCTGCTGGAAAACCAATTCAAAAAATATTGTTTCTCTAAAGATAATTGGCTATAAAATGTTTAGAAGAACTTGATTCTGCCCCCCTCCCCCACACAATAATTTCCAAGCAGGCGGTTAGTGTTGAGATGTAAAAAATTTAATATGAATCAATTCCAGGATAACCGTCTAATCAACAGAACTGTAACATCCACATCATATCACATCAAATGTGAACAGCACAGATATCTGATATATGTTCCATTTTTTACAATCAAATATTGGCCTCAGGTATCAGTTTAACACGCGCAGCAGTTTTGTGTTTGTAACTGAATTAAGGAGATTGAGTTTCACAAACTCTGACTTTAAAGCATCGACGGCTGGAAGGAGGGAGCTGGTCCCTGCTGACGGAGCGGTCCTGACGAAGTGACAGTCAGCTGGATGTCGACAAGCAGCAGTCGAAGAAGACATTATGGCACACAGTGAATTATTGATAAACTGCTCTGGCATCGTAAAGGTTGATCTATGATATATATATATATATATTGGGAAAAATATTGGGAAAAAAACTGTCTATATATTTCAAACGCCACATAACAGAAGAAGAATTATATTATTAATTATTATTACTTATGTTGCAAGTTGCAAATATCAGTCGTCAATGTTCTTACCAGTCGTGAGAAGCAAAACTGTAGTATTTGAGTATTTGTCTCGAAGATTTTGGGGCATTTTTTTCTTCCATATTTTTGGAAACATTTCAGTTGCAAGGACAAGCATATTTTAATCTAGGGTATATCGGTTAATGTTTTACTCTGCACGTGACATCTAATATTGCATTTCTAAATGTTTCCTTAATTTTAGGATGGATAGAGCTGTCAGTTTCTCTTCCCTTTAGCTTTGAAAGAACTATGCATGTTTTGTGTCTTTGTTTTTTGATAAATTTCCTTAATTGGTTTCTATTACAATTAATTTTTCGTGGGGTTGGTGGAGAGTATAGATTATTCGGATTGGACGTTAATGCACAACAGCATCATAAAAAGTTGAATCAACATCTCTGTAGAAAGGCTGTCAGAAACGTTATAGAATAGTGCATGGCTGCTTTTAGGAAAGAACGTTATTTTAAATAATTTTTAAGGAGAGAGAGAGAGAGAGAGAGAGAGAGAGAGAGAGAGAGAGAGAGAGACCAGGAAGTCAGTGTCATCAGGTTACAAAACATCTGCAGACTGGTGTTGTGGTAAAAAGGCAGGAGGAGGGTTTCTTGGGGGGGGGGGGGTTGCCATGGTAACCCCTCCTCGGCTGCTGGGGGTGATGATGTAATATTACCCTGTTTCTGGGGCTCCTCTTTCCTCGTCCTCCCCACCTACACAAACGTACAGTACATCGCTGCATGCATGTTATGTTTAGTGGGGTAGAGGAGACAAATAACATGAAACAAAGGAAGTGCACAGACTGTGTAGTAAGATAAGAGAGCAGTCTAATCTTTTTAAGACCTCTGACTGATGCTTGTAATTTCAAAAGAATCCACTGCACTTAAGATAAAACAACCCTCTCTTCTTATTCTTCTCTGCATCCCTCTATCTTTGCCATAATCACTGTGCGTGTGTGCGTGCGTGAGTGAGTGCGTGCGCTCTGTGCATCATTAAAAGACAGAAGGCAGGAGAGTAAAAAGGGCATTTTACAGTAAATCATCAGATAGCAGCTGTAGAGGACGATTCCTGCCACATGAGGGGGCCGATCAACTGCTGAGCTTGAAAGGAAACGGACAAAGGCAACAATAACAGATAAAACACTTCATTCTAAGCTCATAGAAATATCACAGATTGAAAATATACATCAGGCAACATTAACTTCCTCCTCCAACAATATGAGACATGGAGCTAACAGCAATTCTGTAACTAGTTTGTTTGACATTTTGGCCCAAACACAAAGCAACAACAGCCCCATATATCAGCTTGTCAAAGCAACTACTGACATTTTATTTAATTAAATCAGTTGTTTTCTACTTTCATTTCTCCACCTAAAAAAATAATTTGAAATGTCTCAATATCGCCGGTATAAATTTCTGATCCTAGCCCCTTCATTCAGTTCCAACAAGTGCACAGATGCTGACCCAGAACCAGCCGTTTGTGATCTGTCTTCATGTGTGCTGTTGCGTAGCAGGAGAGGGTGAGGCGTTTGTTCAGGCTGCAGCTTCACATCTCTGGCTGAACAGCTCCTCCACCACCTTTGGGTCGGCCAGGGTCGAAAGGTCGCCCAGGTCCTTCTCGTTGCGGGCGATCTGCCGAAGGATCCGCCTCATGATCTTCCCTAAAGTGGAGCCAGAGTCAGAGAAGACAGATGTTACTGAGGAGGAGAGTAGTGGAGGAGGAGGACGTTTTAAGAGGTTTACCTGAGCGAGTCTTCGGGAGCGCGGGAGCGTTCTGAATGAAGTCTGGCGTGGCGATTGGTCCGATTTTCTCTCTCACTGACAAAAGAATACAGAGAAGGAATCAGTGCAGAGCAGAATATAAAGATAACATGTTAAAACTGACTGCTTTCATTCACAGGCGTTTGTATAGGCATGTCAGCTAGTTTGTGAACAATATGAGCTTTATTGTTCACCATATTGTTCTAATGTTTTTAATTGTGCATTGTTGTGTACAGCTACACACTCCTGTACAAAGCTTTATTCTGATATAGGCTTATATAGTATTTCCCTCCCTGGATCAATAGTATGTTGTCTTATTTGAGAGGAAAAACATCTGCAAATGCAACTGATGTTTCATTATCAATTATTCAATTTGTAAAATCCACATATTTGAGAAGAAAGAATAAAAAAACACAATTTACATCACTTTGACTGGATTTTTTTTTTCCTTTAACCCTCCAGTAAACCGTCCCCTGTGTCGGAGCCTCACCCAGTCTCTTGACCTCCTCCACCAGTTTGTGGTTGAACTCCCTGCTGTCTTTGAGGGTGACGAAGCAGTACAGACACTCTCCCTTCACCTCGTGAGGCCGACTCACTACAGCAGCCTCCGCCACGGCCGGGTGCTCCGTCAGAGCTGCCTCCACCTCCGCTGTGCTCATCAGGTGACCTAAAAGACGCAAAAAACAGCAGAGTAGTAATAATACATAACAGAGCAATGCTTGAAGTGGAAACAAATAGGTCCCAGTACTCCCCTTATTCACATGTTAGCGTGTGTCTGTGCCGATATTAGCAATCTCTCGCTAATTATTCCTATTTATTTATTATTTCTTTCAGCATGTTCTACTGTGTCAGTCATATTAGTGATGATCGTATTATACTTTGGTTATGCATCTATAAGTTAAAGTGCTTTCCTGTGTTATTTGTAGCCTAAAGTTCACCCCATGATATACTATAGGATGCCTTCAGACTGGAGTCAACACCAGCCAGTCAGACGGGCAGGTTTGCATGCAGAGCTGAGACATGTGAGCTATTCTTTCAGGTTTTAGGAGCCGTGTCCCAGTCAGGAGGCTTGAACTTAAAGACTTTGAGATATTGGGTTTGGGAGGGGTCCTTTTTTTTAGCATTTTTGAGTCAATATTATTACTATAAATATTGTCCCAAAAGCTTAAAGAAAAAACTTGCTACAGTTAAATAAGTATTTTACTATTTACACAGCCTTCGTCGGAACATTGCTATGTTATCAGACAGTAACACAGTACAGTACCTGACACATTCAGCATGTCGTCTATTCTTCCTGTGATCCAGTAATAGCCGTCTTTGTCCCGCCTGCAGCCTGAGAGAGGAGAAAACAAGTAACATAATCAAGTACATGTTTTGGTATTAAGACACTTCTGACATATAGTCTGCGTTGCAGGTTTGTGAGCTTGAGTATCCAGACAGAAGACGTAATAGAAGTTTTTGAGGCTTACCATCACCAGTTAGATAGAAGCCAGGGAACTTCTTGAAGTAGGTGTTCTCGAAGCGTTCGTGGTTTCTGTACACAGTGCGCATTATTCCAGGCCAGGGCCTCCTGAATACCTGTAACAAATGTATTAATTATCAGTTACACATACAGTACATATTGTTTTTTTAAGCTTAAAGCCTTTGAATGTTTATGATTTACAGTATTTTCTGTCTTTCCTGTGTATTGTGTGTATCTGTTGTTCTGGGCAGCCAACTGCTGCACACGATTTCCCTCACAGAGGTGAATAAAGTTGCATAGAAGTGAATTGATACTTACGAGATAACCCTCGCCCTCGCCTTCCAGTTCCTCTCCGTGTTCGTTGAGGATTGTGGGCTCTACTCCGAAGAAAGGAAAGGTCTGAAACATGAGATGTGGATTTAATGTGAGATAACGGTGCTCTCTCATTGAACAGCTGCTGTGTGTTTATTTCCGTGAACAGTCTGGATCACAATCTAAAGCCAAATAGAAACGTTGCATCTCCTGCATTGGTTTAGTCCAACCCTTCCTTACCAGCATGATTTGTATTGATGAAACTTATCGGCGAAGATGTTAGTTTGTTTAAGATCGACATACAAATATTATGAGATAACCAATGTTGTCACTTACAGCAGAGCCTGGTTTCAGCGGCGTGGCAGCAGGCAGAGGAGTCAAAATATGACCTCCCTGCAGAGAAATTAATTCATATTTAAAGGAACAGGAAACTCAAAATTTAGTATGTGTGGCTTAATATTGGTGTGATTCATGTTTATTGTTTTGCCATCAACTTATTGCTGTTATTGTACAGTTGTGCTGTTTGGTCAAAGAGAAAAAGGGGTCCAAATAGGGTTTCTGCTCCTCCTGGACGTCCCCTTTGACGTGCGATTGACAGTTATTAGATGAATTGTACATACGTGAAGTGTTGGACAGTGTAAGACTATTGCAAGTGTACATTTGGAGGGTTTTTCCACATAAAACTTCCCCAGATTATAATCAGTCAGAGTTCAGCACAAATAAACTTTTCATTTGGTTTCTTGTTGGTTGGACCTTGCAACCTACAAAACAAGTTTTTGCCGTTTTAAAAATTAAATGATGTTTTCAGTAACATCAACTGCTTTACACAGTTCATCCCATGTATTATTATATCCATATGAAAGAAACGTGATTCTAAATCCAGTCTCCTGTACATTTAAAGTAATTCTCCTGAATCTGAACTAAACAACATATGGACTGAAGTGTTTTTCAACCCTCTAAACATGAGCATAAGCACTCACGGTCTCTGTCTGCCAGAAAGTGTCGACCACGGGACACCTGCCCTGACCGACGACCTCGTGGTACCACTGCCACGCCTCCGGGTTGATCGGCTCACCAACAGTACCCAGAATCCTCAGGCTGGAGAGGTCATACCTGGAGGAGGCAGGTGAGAAAACGTCCCTCAGATATCTTCTATATTTCATCATTATGTTGTACTGACGTACCGCTCTGTGACTCTTGTAGCAGTCCATGTTAACTTTATTTGTTGTTTGGCCTTACAGGCCATGTGTTGTTTTTGTATGCTGGTTGTGTCTCTTGAGAAATATAGATCTTGATCCTAATAAGACCAACTGATGGGATAACGTCACATATTAATCTGTGATGTTAAACATATTCCACGAGTTCCACTTTCTGCCAAATCTACTACTTCAAATTAGTGATTTGCTGTTTCTAAGACATTACTGCAAAATTATGCACTTTTATTCTGGCAACTGACATTTGTTATCACCTTCACCAGTGATGTTTTACATGCATAGTGTTGATGTTTTGAATTAAAGCAATAGTTTGATATTTGGGGAAATATGCTTATTTTCTTTGTTTAGCTTTTGGTTAGCTTAGCTCTGTCTGGAGGTAACAAGCCTCCCAGCACCTCTAAAGTAGTTTAAGCTGTATAAAAACCGAGGTGGAAAGATGACAAGTTGTGTTGTGACTTCCTGGCGTCTGGTTTATTGTCACTATATTTACACTATTCCTTTTATTTTTCCTTTTACCATTTCCTGCCATAAAACTCAATAAGAGCTGCATTGGGAAATGTCTAGTTGATGGTTGTCAACCGGAATAAGCAAAACCGGTTCGGAAAAGGAAGATACAAATAAAATTCTGACTGGTTATCAGAAACTTCTTTCAGTTTATTTTTTAAAGCTTCTTATCTTTGAAGTGAGTGTTGACAGACTAAGACGTTGAGTTTTCCATTTATCCGTTATTTTCCATTTATTTATTTTTTGAAATAATGTTGTTTAAAGTAATTCTTCACCACCAAAATGATCACTTCTAAATGAATCACTCGCACCGTGTCACCTTGAACTCTTGGAGCATGAGACTGTTTATGCAGAAGTGTTTTAGATGGTATGGTTTTAGCGAAGATGCATGTGTTTGTGAAGTAGTGAGCATAAGTCGGATTATATTGCACAAGTTGTATGAGAGTTTGTAAACAGATGTTTTGACATGTTTTTATTCTGTTGTTAAACGCGGCCCACATTTACTTCAATTCACCAAGACTTTAACGGTCATTGGGTGAAGTATTCCTTTTAGGATTCTTGTGAATTTAATGTTGAAAATTCATGACAAAGGGATGTTCACACTGTATGAATGATGATATGAGTGATACCGTTTGCTTTTTCACATCACCTCTGAGGAGTTTGTCACATTAGAAGTGAGAACAGAAGAGGGACGTCTTAAAGATGTGCATCTACATGTGAGAAGTGTTGTAAAAATACACGCAAAGATCACATACAAGCTGTGTTTTGAAAGTCAAACTACTGCGTTAGCCTCTGGAAATCTAGTTTTTTCTGACCTGCTGTGGCATTCAGAGGATGCAGGCTCTTACTTCTGCAGCGGTTCCCGTCCGTACTTCATCAGCAGGCGGATAGCTGTGGGAGCTGTGTAGAACTTGGTCACTTTGTACTTCTCAATGATCTCCCAGAACCGGCCGACATGAGGGTGAACTGGGATACCTTCAAACTGGAGAAAACACACATGCATCTTGAAGGAGCTTTTAAAGGGGGCCTCTGTCTTCTAATGGATCTCTGGGGATTTTTAATACGATAAAAGTCTCTTTCAGACTCACCAGGACGCTGGTGGCGCCGTTTGCAAGTGGGCCGTAGGTGATGTAGGAGTGACCGGTGATCCAGCCAATGTCGGCGGTGCACCAGTACACGTCATCGTGGTGATAGTCGAAAACGTACTTGAAGGTCAGCGACGTATAAAGGAGATACCCGGCAACAGTGTGGAGAACACCCTGTATGGTACACAAGCACGGAAACATGAATGAGGAGGTGATGGGTCAGCACAAAGACAGCAGACAGCAAAAATAATAGGGCTGGTGTGTGTATGTGTGTGTGGGAAAGACAAAGACGCAGATCATTTCCTACAATCTGATGATCTGAGTCCTGTGTTTTATGTAATAATAACATGTGTACACAAAATACAAAAGCAATTGTCATGCTTTCAACTTTCTAGGGATGCATTTATGCTTCTGAGAAAAACATTACTTCTCACTGTTTTACAGCAGAGACAAAATATTAAGTGAAAGACAGCACAGTTAACACCATTAGACTCTTATCAGAGTAAATAAGATGCTGCGATTTCAAAGAAAAAAAATTGAATGCAGAAAATTATTTTTTTGTCTCGCAAATGTCCTGAGCTATTCTGTGTGTTTCTACAATATTCAACTGGTTTCATTGTACATCGTTCATCTTACCTTGGGTTTGCCGGTGGAGCCGCTGGTGTGGAGGATAAACAGCGGATCCTCAGCATCCAGCCACTCGGGTTCACACTCTTCAGGAGAGTCTCTCATCACCTCATCCCACCACACGTCACAGTCTGAGTCCCAGGGGGTCTGAACGCATCAGATCAAGGAACAAATGCGAGATATAAAATCACTCTTTATATCAACTTGAATAATTTGCAAAATACAGGTGATAACAGACCATGTAAATTATAAACTGACATGTAATTTATTATGAGATTTTCTTGTCCAAGCATGTGTTTTTAGTGATATCAAACAAAAACATTAGGTGGTCATTTTAAAAACATATCTACCTGTAGTTTGTTGCATGCAGCTCCGCTTTTTGTCCTGAGTGCATGGTGCTTGATGACGAGGCATTTAGTGACACTAGATGACGCTCTGCGAAAAGAAACAAATAAATAAAAAAAAAAGGTTTTGTGAGAGGCAGTGAAAGGCATCAAGTGCTTGTGTTGCCCTGCTTTGCATTAATTACAAAAACCCCACCAAAAGTCATGAAGTTTAATTTGACATCTCATGTCAGTATATAGATGAAACATCTGAGGACTTTGCAATAGGAGCAAAATACAACACCTTTGACCCTTGATTCATTTAAGGAAAGACTCTAAAAACAGGAAATAAAGTTAGAAACCTTGGGAAGAGCAACAGAGGAGGGATCCCTCTTAAAACGTATTATGAAAAATGTGAAATGAGAAAATGAATAATAACATTAAGTAAAAAGGTTGAATAGTTTCAGGAAAGCTCTGTATTATATGGAAAATGTGAGATCTTGATTGAAAGATTTTAATTGTACTTTTGTTTTGCCACGAGGCTTTGGTGTAACGGACAACATCACGATATGTTTTATTCTTAAATGATACACCTGCACCCCCTATCACACATCCCTCCCCGGCTCATGTTGCTACAGGACACAAGCAGTTTGGGCTTTCCTGAATGATCTGAGCTTCCCATGTTGCCCGGCAACCCCGAAATGTGGAAACCGGGCAGTGTGTTTCCTCAACGTCCATGATATCAGCTGATTGTGTGTGTGTGTGTGTGTGTGTGTGTGTGTGTGTGTGCGTGGTGAGTCATATGCCAGCGGTTGAGTCCATTACCAGCAGCTAGTGTAAATAAGGGCGGTGGCTGAGAATCGAGAAACTTGTTGGCCTTTCAGCAGGACCTACTTTTCCCTGCACTTCTCCAGAGCCTCGTCTGCAATCTGTTTCAGGTTGATCAGCTTCTCTCCTCTGTAAACACCATCTGTACGTCACAAAGGGACGGAGAGACAGCTGATGAGCGGTGTGAACCATCAGGGAGAGGGTATTTAAACACTCTTTACAACTGGAAAACCATCTTTATAATCCCTGAGCGCTACAACACATCACATCCTGATGCTGCTCTGTTGGCTGACATGCGCCTTATCTGGGCTGTCGGACACACCTGCTGTCACCAGGACGCTGCTCTGAGCGTCCACGATCCTCTCACACAGAGACTCGGAGGAGAAACCTGCAAACTGAGCAAAGGAAGATACAAGTTATGGCCTTCAGGGATAATTCTGGTTTGTAACAGCTTGGGTCTTACTGTCGTGGTTTTCTCCATCATTTCTAGTTGTAAACAAAACAACAGCTTTGTCTGATTACCTAAACCTCTACATTTAAACAAGACAATCGGTCTGTAAACTTTGATTGACGATCAATTGATCGATTACAATAATTAAAAGAAAAATAATGCATTTTATTTCTAAAGCATCTTTCAAAACATTTCTACAAAGTACAATAAAAGCAGCACACATTTAAAACACAAAGAGAATGAATTTAACTAAAAGCCAAAAGCTCCATCCCTTGATTCTTCGTCTCACAAATTAAAAGTTGCATTCATGTATTAACCACACCCATGACTTTATGTCTCTTCTCTACTTCCTCTTACACTATGTTTTAGATGTTACCATTATTCCTGGATTAATACACAGTGGCTGCAGTTCAGCAATAGCTACAAAGTCTCACTTTGAAGTGCAAACAGTCTGACGTGCACTCTCTCTTTACCGTGTATAGCAAAGTCACCTTGTTCAATCTTACATAATAAACCAGACATTGATAATAATTCTTTTATAAGATTTTCAGCTGCTGCGTCCACCGTCAGACGTTTGTGTTCTGGCCAAGGATAGTTCACAGCGTGTTGATGACAGCATTATGAATCAGGACACTGAGGACTCTGGACGCAGCAAAATGTCACTGCATGACTGGCATTGACTGTCCTGTCTGGCTCCATCTATGATTTAATTTCATGCCAAGCTTCATTTATGATTTAATATGAACAGTCACACGAGATTTCAGTAGGCTGGCGTTGTACCAGAGATCCTTATGTTACCAAGTGATGTTGATATCAAGTATAATTAAAAAATACAAAACTCAGAGTTGGAAAATGTTCAACAGTGACCAAGCACAGACATGGTCACTCACACCTAATTCTGCTTTATGACTTGCAAAGGTCTGTTTCTGGCAGACTCATCTTGGAGCCGCCTGGAGATATTTTTAACAGGGCTACTAACCTTTGCATGCATGCGGAATGTTGAAACTCTAAAATAGTGTTGGCTTCCTGGCAAAACTTCAAAGACTCTGTCGCCTACCAAAGCTAGATACAGCCTGTAAGTGTCTGACCCATATATTGAGTGCATGTGCTCTCAGTGCTGTGGCTGCATAGAGAACAGCTGATAGGAGCAGGGCAAACACTGCTAACCTACATGTGGAAAATTGACACAGATTGGATACCAGATATGGTTTAAATATTACCATAAGTGTCTCCTGCTTGGAGTGTAATTTTTCATATTTAGAAATAAAATCTTGTTTTCTTTCACCAGCTGACATTAAATGATGCTCCACCTTTATGTAGCAAAACCTACTCGTCTGCTTCTCCAAAATGGGTGAAACAAAAAACAAAAATAATTTGCATGGAAAATTGGATTCTTCATCACACTTCTTACCACAATGCAGTGAACAGCACCTATCCTTGCACAGGCCAACATAGTGTAGACCAGCTCTGGGATCATGGGAAGGTAGATGGACACCCTGTCTCCCTTTTTTACACCTTGAACACAGAAACAAGCAGATTTGCCGTTTTGGATAACGCAAATCACATCTGGGCTGCTTCTCAACTCAAACCAGCAATGTGGCAATGTAGCTCTAAGGTGAGTTTCAGCATGTTGAATATGACAGATCCTATACTGTATGTCTGATGTGCAAAGTGCATTGGGCATACCGCATAGAGCCATATAGTAGCATCTAGTGTGTTGCAGCATGCTGGTTATTATCATTGTGTCCTCCTTTCCTCATGATTCTACAAGCTGAAACATGTTGGAATCAAGCAAGGATTCTGACATGCGTTCAAGTATTTCTTGTTTTACTCAAACTTTGAGCTGCTGAAGGTAATTTTAAAGGATGACGTCATTTTTAGCTACAAACCAATTAATATTGATTTAATTTTGTTTCGGTCTGAGATTTCTCACCCATTTGCTTGAGGACATTAGCACAACGGCAGACCTGGCTCAGCAGCTGGCGGTAGGTGATGGTCATGTGGTGGTCGGGTGAGTTCCCCTCCCTGAGAGGACAACGTACAAAGGGAGAAACACAACCCAAATCTGTTACTGGTCTTGCAAAACCTGTCTCAGATTATATAAAGCGCTGTCTGTGTGTGTTAATCACAGTGTGTTAACCTGGGGATCAACTATTTCAAAAAATACTTTCATGACAGACACAAAAACCCTCCAGATTCAGTGTTTTTTCTAAAATGACCTTCTCTGAAAACATTATGTTGCCCTGTAAGTTTGCTGAGTTCACAGGGGAGATAACCTGTCCCAACTGTTGCTGGGTCTATTGGGTTTGGATGTTTGTCGAAGAGATTTTTGGAAAGTTACGTGGCACAATGTTTCACATGCCAGCGAGCAGCATATTAGCAGGCCTCTGGTGCGGAACAGAAGCCAAAAGTCTCTCAAACCTGGCATCGACCTTATCGCCATGGGGGAAATAATTACAAATACAGCAGTGAAACTGCACTTCTGAAAGCAACTGCTATTGAGGAAGTGCGTGTATTTGATTGTCTTTACTAGTCTTCATATACTGTTGTATGCCTTTTGGCAAATATGTATCAGAACCAACCAAATCAAATGTGGAGTTCCACAGGGGTCAATCATTGTACCATTTTAATTCAACTGTTTAATGCTCTTGTTAGTTCTGAATATGCATTGTGCAAGGCAAAGGATTGGATGTTATTTCTACATTTACAAAAAGGATCAAACCAAATTTCCATTTGTATTTCTAAAGATGACTAAAATTGGTTTTCATCATTGTTGTCTGCTGCTGAAACCCAAGGGTTAAATCTTGATGTGGTCAGGAAATCAGATCTAAATCTGAATGTCCATGTCGGGACAATAACAAGGCAACCTATTACCACCTTAAATATACAACTAATACAACTCAGTAATAAATCACCAGATGATTTATGAGCGAAATACTTGTACGACAGTATTCACCCACAGATCCTCTGAGGTCCCCTGTCGTAAAATCCAAACTTGGTGAAGCTGCTTTTAGCTGCTGTGCTTATTTCGTATGTTTACCATTGCCTTTAGACTTTGTGCTGTTGTTGTACATGCACCATACATTTCAGTCTTTTCTTTATTATGCTCTTTCGTTTTCTTGACTTTTTCTTTGATTTTTTCTTTTAGTCTATATTTGATTTATTTCATGTCATTTATTATTTCAGTCTCAATATCTTATGTGATGCTTTCATCGGTTTGTTTGCCTTGCCTGTTCTTGTTTAACAGATAAACCTGCCATTGAGATATCTTTGTTTTTCTGCAGTTTACAGTTATAGAAGCTAATGCATAACTAATAGGAACTGTTTCTTATGACCTTTAACAATTCAAAAGTACATTTAAAAGCAGCTGATAAATGACCTCTAAGCGTCTAATTTTCTTTCCGTTTAACATTCAATAACTTTATACAGGATGTTTCTCTTTATACAAGTATTGCATTCAGTGAGACAGAAAATGTTTTTGATGCTGAAACTATTTCTTACGAGCACTTGAAAGGGTTAAGAAACTTGTAGAGAATATATATAAACCCTCTTTATTAAAGCAATGTTTGTGCAAAGGGTGACACTTCAGCCCGGGACACCTGTCATCACAGAGCGCTGAGACCATTCTCGATTTCGTGCAAATAATAGATGCAGTAACAGAGTCAAAGAAATCGACACACATCTCACTATGAAATACTTTTTGGTGTCTTGTTTTCCTATTGTTGTATTTTGCAGCATCCTACCATTTGAGATAGTTTTGTAAATGTTTGGCTAAGGTGTGAGCAGCTAAAGCCACATCAGTGAACAATCAATCTGGCCATTTATAACTTGAATATAACCTTGGTACTACAGTGGACAGACTGTATTCTCCTCATATGACGTGCAGAAACCGGTATGACAAACACGTGGGCATATTACATAAGTGCTTTGATGTAGTGCAATCAGCGTTAAGACACTTGTGTGGGCGATGGATGGTCTCCGCTCTGCCCAGTTTCAATGAACCCCTATTACTGCTGAGGTTGCAGAACCACTATTTGTGGTTTGCTAAGCCTCTTCTGTTGACAGAGTAAATATGCGCCATAATATGAAGTCAAAATAACATAAAGTAGAGCCTTTTAGAGTTTAGTGGAAGTCACAAACTTGAAAGTGTTCAGTGAGAAAATGTATGAGCTTACATCCAAAATAGTGACAATAAAAACAGTCGTATTCTCAAAACAATCCTTTTTGTACTGTAATAAAACACAGGACTCTTACAATTTGCTGTAATGCTAGATTTTAAAACGTGTTGTACCCAAATCATAAGCACTGACATTGTGTTGTACTAGCTGAGGTTTGCTTTGGTGCACTGGGGTCGGCACATGGGACACAACAGTTGCTATTGCCAGGAAGTATTTTCCATAAAAGTCATCATTCATGGCGGGCAGAAACTGTCGCTTACCAGTAATAGGCAACCTTTTCACCAAGATTCCTCTCCTTCACATGCCTGTCCAGGACATTATAGCACATGTTGGTTTTGGCCCCTTCCATGCATTTCACATAAATGTTCCCTTTTGTCACATCAAAGTTGTACTGCAGCATTGGTCCTGTTGCTGGCTTCTTCCAAGAGAACTCATCAGCAATCTCTTTCCAGAAAGCTGAAACAAAGTAATATTTCATGTCAGTGTTACAGGCTGCAGACAGGGCAGATAAACACAGACAGATACGGCACAGTCAGGCTCGTGGGAGGTAGAATATAAGGAAACTCTGCAAGCACTGCATTAAAAATACAGTCGTGTTTGACTTACCTTCTGGATTCTCAAGAGATTTCCTGTACAGTGCCAGGTAGGAGTTAAAATCAGGCACATGAGCATCCCCCTTCAGGTCATCAGGAGGGTAGTACATTTTTTCCTGGGATTCAGGAACAACCATTGTGGAAGAACAGATGCCTATATCATCTGAGAGTGAGTCGGAATATGGGTTAATCTGGAGTCACAGCTGATCTGTCTGGATCCTCCTGAGTTACAGACAAGGCCTCTTGTACTGAAGCAACACAATTCAGCATGCAGAGAGACCCACCTCTAATCCCTGAGCTGCAGGCTCACTCAGTCTGTTTAGGGCCAGGGCAGCCAATCGGCCTGCAGGGTGCAACACTCCCACTTTTTCATTGGATGAGCCCCCTCTGGCCTGTTGATGGCATTATTTATCCAAGCAGCAGGATGAATGGTGGGGATTCGTGTAGGCATGAGGTGGTTGAGAGAGAGAGAGAGAGAGAGAGAGAGAGAGAGAGAGAGAGAGACTCAAGGCTTTGCCACTATCCATCACAGAACATCACATAACAATGTCACCCATGATCAAACATTTATGAAATAATAATTTTAATTAGCATCATATAATATAATATACTTTACTGAGCAATTTGAAGCGTTGTTTTGTGTTAAAACTGTTAACATTTGTTATTATATAAACTATTTGCACATTTCACTATTATAATCTGTAATTAAACATATTCAGTCTTTTCGTGCTTTGGAATGTTTGTCCGTGGTAAACTCTGTTTAGCATGCAACGTGAACCACCATTCAGGTTACATAACAAAAGTCTAAATGGCTGCTGTTATTCATTGACTTTAGCTCAGATTTCAATCTGGAATCGATTCAGTTGCACTGCGAGTGACGTGTGACGTAGGAGCTCACGTCAGACTATTGTAATCGAGCGTGAACACTCTTGTGTTGATGTCGGCTGCTGCTGTCCCGTCCATTTGGTAACACACTGGGACCAAACTTCAAGCTCCAAGATGTTCTTGTCTGCTGTACTTCGCTCTGCAGTGTCGCAGACGGTATGTTTATGATATTCGTTATGGTTCTGGGTAAAAATGTCAATGCCCTTATGGACAACTTGGAGAAAAATGCTATGACTCCTCACAAGGGCAAGTAGGCCGCTAAGCTAGCGTTAAGTAACGTTGGTAACATTAGCATGCTAGCTAATTTAGCCTACTGCTGTCAAACGTTTACAAGGTGATCGTTTGGCAAAAATTAGCAATGCAAAGGAAACGTTTGTCTGGTACATGAACACATGCGTATTATAAGTAGTTTGGTCTAAAACACGTAACTGCAACTCGTTAGCTATTCTGTTTTGGGGACGACATGCAAGCCCCCTTAACGTAGTAGATCATTGCATGCTATAGGGAAGACTGTGTGTGTGAGGTTTAGGTTAAGTTGAGGTTACTGCTAAGAAATTGGACATCAGGAACCGGTAATAGCCTAATATCATTTTACGATCATCTTAAATTTATATTAATAATTCCCCAATTAAGAGTCAAATGAGTACATTAAGGATGTATCTAAGTATTTTAAACTACGACCTGTATTTCTATCCCTTAAATTTGTAAATGTCAATGACTTATACCTTTATAAATTAGTACCTCAGCTATGTTTATGTGAAGGTATCCCATGTTGTGATGGTTTAAGCTTCGTACAATTAGTTATGTACAATGACGAGAACAGTCAGATCTTAAGTCTTTTTAATTGACCTGATAATTGTTATATATTTTTTTAATTTACAGAATGTCAATTACTCTGTCGCTATAAAAAGTATGCATAATTATGTAAAATTAGGGACACTTTCTCAGTGGTAGACGATGACAACATCACCAGTTTGTCACTTTTAACTTTCCAGTCCGTTCAGGAAGTCTGAAGGAGACATGCCCACCCAAAAGACTCTCGTGGGATGTTAAAGTATGAAGTCTCACACTACCGGGTATTTCATCTGACTGCTTTGTCTCTGTATTTGCAGGCCAGACAGGTCAGGAGTCTGCATCAGTCTGCTGCTCGGGCTGGAGCTGGTGGCATCTTTGTGGTGAGTTACAGTTTCTTTGCCAAAGTCAAGAAATGTGCAGAAGAAGTTGGGAACAGAGTAGCCAGTGCAGTGTGGGCAGCCTTAATTTGTTGAAATCACATTTTTCTTTCTGGTGCTCAGAACATTCAGAATATGCAATATTGTCCCGATTGATATCAGTCAATTGCCCTTATTGTTGACCTTTTGTGGCCTTGTATCCGTGTGATCAGCCCAGTTGTAATAGAGGACATGCACATAATATTGTACATCAATACGCTGTATTATGTCAAAGCATCAGTCCATAATGTCTTTATTTTTATGACCTTTTAATGAGGGCTATATGTGGCATATTCATGTACTGTGTTGCAACATTTTATCTAAAGTTTGAAAATAAGTTATTTACAAGTTGGTGCTTTTTAAACGGGTAAAGAAAAATTACCTGTGGGTTTGGGATAAAAGATGGACAATTAAACAACAGGATTAAATCAAAACTATAATTATTTCCTTCATTCTGTGCTCCACATTCTGGAGATTGAGGTTTTATTCGTCCATCTAGCATAATCATTTTTTTATGAAATGCCTGTTTTACTACACAATACTGATATAAACACATCTTTCACAACCACAAAGTCAATTGAGTTATAGACTGTATCTACCTGTTATTTACAAGTGGTCATAATATTTATATAGGCTTCAGCCAATAAAACAAATGTATAAATGTGATCGTTGCATGATTCAGCGATTTGTTTGTGCTTTTATTTTTGCTGAAATAATCCCGAAGGTGTCCGTTTTCAGGAGCTCTTAATTTATCCCAGTAGCTGCCTTCAGAGCCTATTAGAGCCATGCTGTGCAACAAAAACATCACATGTGATATTGTCATGTAATGGAAACATGCCATGGTTTCATTGTCCCTGGATAGTAAAGGTGTTTTTAATCTGTGATGGGAGAAAAGTCACTTTGGCTGACTTGTCTTTGAACTCTTTGGGAACCGGGTATGCTGTCTTCTGACAATTTTAACGTCAAACTCCATTACATTCAAGTTGTTCTTTTTCTTAATTGCACAAAGGATATTTGTTGCTCACAAGGGGGCAGTGTGTGCAGAGGCCCGAATAATTGTTATCTGTGTTGAGTCTTCTCAACGGTCTGATAGCAGCACCTGTTTTCCCCTGAGGCCTTACATGATGGGTTATTCATAGTTTATCAGATCGACACATATGCCTGTTACTCGCATGAAAGCAGTGGTTGTTGGTTAAACAAAAGCATCCAAAATATTGATTGAGGCATCATATCTATGTACAATATTTAAAAAAATATTCAGTCTAAAGTATTAGCTTCACATTTTTTAAACAGGAATACATATAAATGTTATTTGAAGATGACTGAGGATAATTATATCTTTGATAAACAATGTTAACTGTCCTTATATAACGGTGGTGTTTCTGTTCCAGCACAGAGATACTCCTGACAACAACCCAGATACTCCTTTTGAGTTCACCGAGGAGAACATGAAGGTAGGGTTCACATCTGTGTTGAGCATTCAGGGGAAGCACTGAACAACATCTTTGATCTGTATACGTCTTTGAATACAAATTCAGACAAACAAGTTGAACTAGTGAAACATGTTTGTATTGTTTCAGCCAGACAATTTATATTCACGTTATTTTTTTAAATCTTTTTATTTCAATCTAAAAAGGTTGAAATGTGATTAATGGGTTTTTTATCGATATTTTTTTAATGTTTTTTTTAACATTTTAATGGACAGTAAATTATGAGCACCTGATCGTTATCACCAATATAAAACATTTATTATTTTGTTATATTCAGCTTCACATTACTTTTTAAAGCTGATGTCAAACCATATCCCATGATCAGTGCATCGTCTGTAAATATCTGTGCAGGTAATGATTTTGTATGATCAATTTAATAGTTTAAATTGGTCTAATTATTGAAGTTGAATGCAACGATTCTTATTCTGAGCAACGCCTTTTTTTCCTCTTTGATCCCTTGTAGAGGATCGATGCGATCATCTCCATGTACCCTACTGGACACAAGCAAGCAGCCACCATCCCCGTGTTGGACGTAGCCCAGAGGCAACATGGATGGCTCCCGATCTCCGCCATGAACAAGGCACAGTGCTTCTTCTGCCATTTGTCTTACAGCTGTGTGATGCCAATTGGATCCGTTGGGAAAACATTTTTATGAAAGTTCATACAACACCATGTCTTAAGTGTCATGCAATTGTTTTCCTTCAGGTCGCTGAGGTTCTGGAAGTTGCTCCAATGCGAGTGTATGAAGTAGCGACGTTCTACACGATGTTCCTGCGTCAACCCGTGGGAAAATACTTCATTCAGATCTGCACAACAACACCCTGCATGCTCTGCAACTCAGACAGCATCCTGGAGGCCATCCAAAACAAGCTGGGTAATAGAGACAGTCTTTTAGGGTGGGGCACCAATGAAGAGATGAAAAGACAGATGATTATTTCTTTTTTTATTGTGCGTATTTCATATAAACAGAGGTTGGGAACAAACTTGTATATATACAGTTCAAACAACAGCAAACTGTTGCAGCAAACAGGAAGACATAGCACCCTGAAATCAAGCCAGACAACTTCTGCCAACCTACTTCAGTCTGTGTCGCATTTAATAGAGCACCCTTGTACTAGATTGTTCTTTCAGTCAACCAAATAGTGAGGCTATACTATTAGTAATACCTTACAGCACAGCTGTGTAATGTCCGGTAGCACTGCTTGAACATAATCTGCAGCTTGTCAGAAAAGTCTGGATAAATATAAAGCATGTTGGTTTCCCACAGGAATCAAGGTTGGAGAAACTACCCCTGACAAGCTGTTCACCCTCATAGAAGTGGAATGCCTGGGCGCCTGCGTGAACGCTCCAATGGTGCAGATCAATGACAACTATTACGTGAGTGTTTGACTACATGGACATTATAACTTAATTAACAAAATTAGGCTCAAGCCCGAAATTAGTTTTGCAAATAATGTCTGCAACACACCTCTCAGCCCCTTCGTCAGGAGCGCTACCTTCTTTTTCTCTTTTCTTTGGAAGCCAATGCCGGTGTGATTCAGCCTACGCATGTAAGGCTCAAAACAAATATAAACGTGGGAAATGGAAACCATGGCAGACAAATGATATGGCTAGAATAACAACTGTGTCGTGTGCAAAGGTTCACTTTAGGAGCCAGATATGCTATTAAAAGCTTGCTTTTTGGAGTTGTGGTTACATTATCTGAAATGATCCTGCACTCAATCGCCATGAGACGTTTAGTTCCTGCAAGCTGAGCAGAAGAGAATGACCCATTTAAGATAAACGTGGCTGAGAAAGGAGGGATTTTCTGTAACACCTGAAATTGCTGAGGTGTGATCCTTGCAGGCAGAACGGGTATAATGTGTTAACGTCAAGAGTACGGTGGCACCGAGTTTAGCATTTGATGTGAGTAACGGGCATTCAGTATTAGAATCATTCCTTTTTACTTAAGATGCAACGTTTTGTAGATAAGCATGTGTGTCCGGTTGATTCTGGGTTTAAACCTGGAAAGAGCAGCAGCACAGATATGCCTGTTAAACAGCATGTCCGATTGTTTGTAAATGTATAATTAATGCACATTAACAAAGTAAATAATGCTGTAACTGAGCCATTTGTAATGGCGTTAGACTATTCATTCATCAGTAGTTGCAAAACGCAACCTGTGTGATTTGTTCGGGCATGAAAATGATCTAATACAACCAGCTCTTCTTTGGTCACCTGGGTTAAAAAAAATCAATTCATTGAATTCTATTCATTTAATTATTTGGCACAGTTGTAACCACTTTAGCACGGACTTCAGGAAAACCATAATGTTATCTTTTATAAGGGGATTTCAACCGATCATTATCTGTTGTAGTACATTAACATTTAGCCATTCTGACTATTACTATATCTGATTGTCATTTTAGAATTCGCTATAATCCCCATAAGCATATTGCAAAAGTAGCATTTCAAGTATTGCCTCTTAACCTCCCCCTCTCTCCTTAGCTTTGAGCTGCAGGAATGAGTCTTAAAACCCGGAAATGAGTTAACATTTCTCCGGTTCCCTCGTCTCGAAGTCAATGCGTTTTTCATAAGATGCCTGCAACAAGGTCTGTGTTAAATACAAGCTGAAGATATTTTAACATTTTATTATATGATATAAAAATACCACCCTTGTGAGTTTTTAAGCGTTTACGTGTCTTAAAAAGACAGTTGCTAAATGAGACTACAAAACGGCATCACGACCAATAGTCCGCCTTTACAGCATAGTTGTTTATATTCGCAGTCATGTGACCGTGGTATAGTTTGTTTATAGCCCAACGCTAACTTTGCCATGTAGCTTATTTTCTGCAATAATCCAAAATTTAATGTAACAATCCCATTGGGTTTTTGTCGAGGGAACCAGTGTAATGCTAACTTTGCCCTATGAAAATACGTCATCCCTGCAGCTCTTTATACAGGTTGAAGAATGTGGAAAACTGTTAAGACGTTAATTATCCAGCACAAAACCACGAGCAATGCAAAGCGGTGCACTATCTGCCTTTCTTCTCATTCATCCCGCTCTCTTCTTGTTTCCAGGAGGACCTCTTACCGAAGGACATTGAGGACATTATTGATGAGCTCAAAGCAGGCAGAGTCCCATTAGCTGGGCCCAGGTACATACAAAGCCATCATGAACTAATTAGCCTATTATATCTTTTCTGGTTGATTGTATGTGCACCGACTGCGCTTTAAGACGTATTCTCTGTTTCCTTTTTCTACAGGAATGGGCGTTTCTCCTGTGAGCCTGCAGGTGGACTGACCTCTCTGATCGAGCCTCCTAAAGGACCGGGCTTCGGTGTAAGACCGGACCTGTAGACATTTTTAGGCCAACATCTGCTTTTATTAAAAGCAACTTGTCCCTGAAGCTGATATTATGCCTAATTCAAACATGTTGTGTAAATAAACTGTTCATATACCTGTGCTCAAGGTGTCATGGTGTCACTTACAGTATAATTTATTATATAGCCTGTGACGACAACTACAGTTCTATCAGTCACACTTTACAGTAGGGCGTTGAATATAAACACATAGGACTGACACTAAGAATCTCATAATGTAAGTATTTCCTGGCATGTTTAACAATCTGGTATTTTACAGAATTACTGTCTTTTCAGGGTCCTAGAAGTGTAAAATACTGTAACCGTAAATACTATTTTATTTAGTTAAATATTACAGAGCTTTACCTCGCGATGCTGTGCTCTAAAAGAGCAGCAGCTTATGTCGCAGTTTCCATAATCAGCGCTTTCTCTGACTACCATTCATATATACATTCAAATGCCTTTAGAAGAGTCGTGTACATTTATCATGTGCAATTGTGGCACATTAAATGCATTAAAGAATTTAATAAAAATAGAAGAGAAGACATGCTAATATGTATTTCTGGTCAGAATTCCTAATGCAATGATGTCATTTGATCACATATTAGCTTGACTGAATACATACCACAGTTGGGCTTTCTGCAATTTACTCAAGGCAACCGAAAGGCATTTTTGACTATCCGAAAATAAAGCAAACAATGTTAGAATTGTAAATTATTACATGTTTCTAACTGAAATCATCACTACTCGCAACTAAATTAGATATATCTCGAATTTCTGTTTCAACTAGTAATTATTTAAATGTCTAATACCCAAAACTATACAATGTGGATATGATTAATTACAATTTAATTCCAAAATTAGCTTTCTAAGTCTTACTAATAAAAATGTAATTACTGGTATCGTAAACAAGCACTTTGTGAAGTGAAGTCCAAATGCAGTTATATTTATGTTAAATCAAACATTCTGACTTATTCATGAATCCCAAATATCTTTAAAGTTAATCCGGTTAATCTTTTATAATTCTCAACACACGCAGCCTATTCCTACAACTGCTCCTGACATTTCCATTCTGCCCCGGTGGCGTTTTTCTCGTGTCTAGCCGATGCCCCTCCCCCACTCCGGTTTCCTCTTGCGACTTTCAAGCCGGCTCTGCAACATATAATATTGTGCACCACGGCGCATGCGCGCACCATACACCACGATGCAAATATCACTGCGCAACCGATTATGAGCTGCTGGCCTATACAATGAGTTGGCGGACTATATAAGCCGGGCTACTTCACACGATCGGTTTGTTAATTAAACTGACACCAAAATTACTAAACCGTGCTCACAAAGAGAGATAGAAGGAAACAGCCATTCCTCTGTTAACCTCCGCGGTGAATCTTCGAGAAAGTTCCCACTAACCGCATCACACAGCAACGGAAAAGATGACGTCAAGTGTCCATTACTGTTCTCTCCCCTCTCCTATCATTACAATCCCAAATCTTACACGCTAATAAACATCAACTGACGTTATTACACGCCACTAGCTGATAAAAGGTGAAAGCGCGGAGAATGTTCTCAACAGTAATAAAGGTGATTTACTCACAGCGTCGACAAAACAACGAGTTAAATGGTTTCCACACACATACCCATCTATAGTCTATCCAGCAGACGGAGACGTTTTAAGTTCGGTGGGGGCTCAGAGCAGTCACGTGACGTCTCCTCGACCAATGAAAACGACGCTTGCATGTTTTGCTGGGGCTTTTCTTTTTGGAGAGGACGGGCAACGAACGGCTGGGATGTTTTCAAAACCAGCGATGAACGTCACACAGCCGTAGGCTACGGTTAAGGTCCAATATTTAGGAAATAACTGTTTATATTGCGCAATATTCACAAGTAGCAGAACCCGAATGAGTCAGTGGGGATACGCGTGACCCAGTTTCAAGGTAAGCGCAAAACAAGTTTAGTTGTTTGATTGCCTTTGGATCATAAAAAATCCTAACGTAAGTGAACGTTAGCCATCTGGCTACAGGCGAGCGTGCTAACGGTGTGCTAACGTGAAGTAAACTGCGTGCGAAAATCGAACGTTATGTGTCTTGTGCGTGGGCTTCGGTTATAGTTGTGTGCCACGTGCGTTACATACATTTTTAGTACTTCCATAAACTGGGATTTCACCCTTTTTTATCTGCGTTTAGAAAACTCGCCGCCTCTTATGAAGCGGGAAGACGTAAAGCCGATAGGAGAAAATGTCGGGTTGAAGCACGGTGAGCTGGGTTAGCCCCAGACAGCGAGGCTGTGTCGGGCTGCAAACGAGCTCGCTAGCTAGATTAAGCGGAGGGGCTGCAGTGGGCTTTTGTCTCAGGCTGTGCTGTGCTCTCGTGTCAAATATTGCCCTTAAAACATGAAACATGGGGGTATTACTTATGTTGGCCGCAGAGTGACAGCACACAACATATTTAACACGTGCAACGTATTTCAGGACGTATAACGTTATTGGAGCTCGTTGTGTTTACTAACCACAGTTAAAACATTTAAGCGCCTCAACATATTGCATTGAAAGCAAGAACGAGCGACATTACTGTGAGGTGGGTGGTGTTTGTCTGCAATGATGTAGCCAAACACCACCGTTTGTTTACCCCAAGCGCCGTTGTTGTTGGGATAATGACTATTATACATCTAGCGTACATATGTAGCTATGTTTTGGTATTTCATAAAAGGAACTAGCATAGCTTAGATAACCAGGCGCTTGCACCTCCCAGCCGATGACATCTTGGGGGTGTGTTGCCTGATACAAAAGCTGCCTGTGTTAGATGACTGTCTATACGGCGACCATTGAAAACCAACAAAACGTCGACCTTTTAAATTTAAAACACCCACGAGAGACTTTGTTGAGACAGAATTTGATGATCTCATATATACATATAACACAGGCAGCTTTTGTATCAGGCAACACACCCCCAAGATGTCAT